AAATATGAAATTTATATATATTATGAAGAGCTTACAGTACGAAACGGAAAAGTGACTTGTCAATAAATAGTCAACAAACAACCCTAGTAATTCTCTCGCGAGGCAATAACGCTATACCGAGGGGGTCAAAAATAGGTGAAAATTTAAAGCTTGAAACATCTGCTTCCATGCATTAAGGAAGAATTAATGTTTTTTTTTCCCGAATCAATAACTTGGTTTGGATTTTATTGCGTCCTCACTTTTCAACTACAATAATCAAGATAGATAGTAAACAGTGCGCATGCGTTGCTAAGGTGACCGCAGTTGCTTGATAACTTTTTTAGAATTCTCTCTTTCACTTTTAATTTTGTTAGCCATTAAGTTGGTGAGTTTATTTTTGAGATATGTGACCAGAGAGATCCCATAAATACTTCTTGAGTTGCGAATAAAAGAGAATTTATTCTTTTGAACCATATTTTTTTTATTGTTTTAATTAAGAATCAGAAATTCTGACCTACAGTTAAACTGGATCGTTTTCAATAAGGATTCATGTGAATATCTCAAATAAAGAGGGTCTAAACTGATTGACACTGTCCCAAAAGTTATATTCCAATGGTGTTTGCGGCAAGAGAAAAACTATGCTAAGGTCTAAACTCACCGAGGCTGAAAGAGCCGAAGCTCAAGAGAGTAGCGTGGAATACCTGAAGCGTTACACACAGGTCAGATGCAAAAGGATTCCGTTCGCAAACGCAAGCAAGAAGCCCATCTCTCACAAAAGTACCGAAGTATTTGAGAGACATGCAAATATGAGAACTGGGTGTTGATTACCAGTTAGGGATAAAAGGATCCATTGTCAACGCACCCAATGACTTGCACCAGACCGTAGACTGTCTTCCATGCAATATAAACGATTCATTCACTATTCATGTAAAATTGAAAAAAAAGCCTAGTTTTCAAATCATATTTCATGTATGAACTTATGAATCTGAAACGGGTATATATGATGCAGATTACAATCTCCAGCAAACACCATTGCACCAATCTGAAAATGTTAATATTGATCTCATTTTGCTGTTTTCAATGTCTATTCTGTCATCAGAAGAATTTAGACAGAATGTGTTTTAGCAGCATTTAAATATGTCTGCAAAATTGTGTACCGAGCAGTTCAGGATTAATACTTAAGATGTCCGAGATGAAAACACCATAAAGTTTCTTTTCCAAAAAAATGAGACAACAACCATTTTAACAATGGGTAAACCTGAGATCGCCTAGCGGCTATCTCAATTTTCTTAATTTTGTAGTGAATCGTATTTTTTTAATTTTTTTTTGTTCCGCATTAGTTTTTGTATCAAACACCCCTAGTAAAAAATTTAATTTTTGGTAACGTTAAAAATAAATATTATTTTGATATTAAACTTTCAGTTTATTATTATTGTTACTATCTGAATACTCGTTTTTCCTTATGAAATAAAACTGAATAAACAATAAAGCAGTAATGGTCAACATCATGTATAAAATTAAAAAGAGATATGAGGAGACAATCATTCGGCATATTTCTATTGCTATTTACTCCTGATAATAAAAAATTAAAATAATCAACAATTTTCTCTGCTACTATTCCAATTTGGTAGGCTGTAAAAAATCTATTTCCCATGTATTCATATTAGGCACCGTGTTACGGATAATAGTATTTTTGTATGGTATATTACTAACATCAATACTACCTATTACCAAAATGTTTTCTATTTTCTTGGATTATTAACTTTAAATTGTAAATAAGAAGAAACTAGTCAACAATCTTCAAGATGTGTGCGCTTACTTAAAATATTAAGTGTTAAATCCGAAATAATAAACATTGTTAAATAATTGGCAAAACTAATGACTAAGACTAACTCACAAATATCGGCATTCTCATTGGGGATAAATGAAGTTTGCGTATGAACGAAACACAGAGATAGATAGCCAAATTTTAATTTGCCCCCTCTTAGCAGAGATTGTTGAGCAAATTATATTTTGGTAGAAACATATCAGAGCTTGGCCTCGGACTATCCTCGAGAGCTTTTCGTGGTTGTTACCACCATTTTGCGCAAATGCTGATTAGCTTTATTTAAAAGAATTCTTCTTGAAGAAAAATGTGGCTCTTGTCTTCTGGGTTAGAGTCTTGGTTAAGAAATTGAAAATAAAATAAAGCAGCATATTTACTTGTGGATTGGTGCTCAAAGGTGCAAACTCGTGAAATGGTAAATTAAATTATGAAAATTGAGAATCGCATAACTCATCGTGAAGACGTAGCTTATCACGATAGAAAAAACATAAAATTGTTACATAAACATTTTTATAAATTAAAATGTGTCATTTTTGTATGAAACTGCTTTAATTTCAATAAAAATAATTTGTGTTTCAACAACTATACCAAGATATTTTTGTATTAAAGCTAATAAAAATAACTGAATTTATTTTCAGAAATACCTTTAGATTGAACAAAATGACGTAATATTTTGATACAATGAGCGCTATTTAAAAAAAATACTTGCATAAAAGCAAAAATTACTGATTTCTCGACAATTAAAGCGATGCATACCGGTGAAACATCTACTCCGCCAAAGTTGATCTCACGCATACTTGGAATGGTTTTTGATCGATTTTCGGACTAACAAGGCTAGAAAAAATTTTAAACCAGCTTGTTTCAAATTAAGATTGTTGAATTTTATTTCAGGAATATAAGCCTTAATATATGCATATTTATTCTATCTTTTGCAACTAAGTTATATTCTATGAAAAATATTAAAAATCCTCCACGAAAACAAGCAAATGCTACTCACTTAAATCATAAAAACCTTCCTTGGAAAAGAGTTAGAATCAAATAAATAGACTCTTCAAAAATTTTGTGAGTCATTAATTCACAAACATACGAAAAACATAATAATTGGACAGAAAGTATAGAGGAGGAACGTTTACTTATTTCTTCAACGCATTACTTCATTAACTTAAATTCACTCAAGTGTCATTAAAATAATAAAATTTAACAACTAAAATATGTAATTCTGTTATCAACTCTCACGGTTATATCCTAAAAATTGTGCTTTTTAATGTTGCAATAATTTAGACAAAACGAAATATATCAATAAAATATTGAGAAGAGCTATATTTTGAGGAACAATAAAATAGTGTGAGATATTTGTAAACAAAATGTTATCAAGTAAAAATATCACAAAAATTAAAAAATAATACAAAATAAAATACAAATTGGAACATAAAGAGAGAGAAAGCATGTCATGTTTTTACAAATAACTTTCAAAATTAATTTAAACACATTATCGTAACTAAGTTGTCGGATTACAAAATATGAAATTAAAGCGCAAACAAAGAGTAGTAGGATGTATCTTTCTTAAGGCGCATTCATATTGAGGGCATTTGATTTGTCTGTTACCTCGGGTTGTTCCAAAAAATAGAATTTTTTTACAATAAATACAAAATATTTTTCCTTTTTCACAGGGAAATTTCTGTTCGGATATTTTCATCTATATAATTAAATCTGTATCAAATATATTCATCCTTATAATTAAAACAGGATCAAATATTTTCATCATTATAATTTTCTAATATCTTCATAATAAAAATGATTCAACCAAGAGTAATTATATTCGTATATTTTAATAATGTTTACCTTTTTAAAGGGAAGCAAATATAATATAAAAACCAATATCAAAATATGTAGTCTAAGTGATTTTATTTGGTAAAATTTGAGTTATTTTATCTCTCACACAATCAATATAAACATTATTAAAGTTTAAAATATAAGAAAAGGTGTTAAGCGCATAAATGTCATTATATTTAAAAAAGAAAACAAAATTTTTTGTTGAATTAAAAGTGCAATGTATATTAATATCTTTTTCCCGCTTTGATATAAAATTTACATTTCAAGATTTCAAGTGTCACTTTTAAGAGAGTTTTTAATTCACTCTGATATAAAAAATAGTTGAAATATTCTGAATTGTACAGCATCGAATCTAAAATTTGCTGTTAGCCATCTGGGAAGTAATTGCACTTAGTTAAGAGCTGATTTGAAATGTTTATTATTTGTAAACAATCAATTAGTCAAATGCAATAAAATAATGACTTGGTTCAGTTATTTTCCTTCATTTTGACTTAAAATCGTTTAATAAACAATATTTAACATTGTTAACGTACAATACAAGTATGTTACATATAAATATGTACATTATGCATTAACAAATCTACTTAAGATGAACATAAAAACTTGAATTTTTAGATTTTTTAGCATTTTCGATTTTTTTCTTAATAATTAAATCTTAGGTAACTTTTTTATGATTATCAGGTACAATCAAACATTTGATATGATTTGACATGAATGAACAGTTGAATGAATTCCCTCATTTAACGCCCCGAACTTGCCTCCAACACTGCAATTCGGAATGACCCTTTCTTATTAACAGGAACGAGTGAGTTTATCAATAAACAATAAACGGGAGAATCCTTTCTGGCCCCAAAGTCACAGGTGTGCCTCGCTCAAAGTTTTCTCCTCTCCCTTTATAATCACAGGTTCGGAGTTGACGCTAATCCATCGCACTTGACATTATCTTTCTTTCCATAGGGGTTGATAGTCATGATGCGTTTATCTCTGATTGGCGTCATTTCGTTAATATTTATTATTTACAAAATGTTATGATTTTATGAAACAAGAATAAAATTCAGAATTTTTAAAGACTGCTTTCTTTTGCGCAAGGTTATTTTTTAAATTTTTTTTATTGTAATTCGTTTAAAAACTTATTTATTGTTTTCGTTAATATTTATTATTGACAAAATGTTATGATTTCACAAAACAAGAATAAAATTCAGAATTTTTAAAGACTGCTTTCTTTTGCGCGAGGTTATTTTTAAAAATTTATTTATTGTAATTCGTTTAAAAACTTATTTATTGTTTTCGTTAATATTTATTATTTACAAAATGTTATGATTTCACAAAACAAGAATAAAATTCAGAATTTTTAAAGACTGCTTTCTTTTGCGCGAGGTTATTTTTAAAAATTTATTTATTGTAATTAAAATATCAGTATTGTAGAGTTATTTCGTAATATTTTTAATCCCCTTTGCTCACAGTATTTTATGAAACATAAAGTAAATTAAATATGAAATTTCTTAAGACATTTTTTTAGAGTTTGTTTATTATTAAAATTTATTTATTGATTATTTACAGCAATATTAGTAAATTAGTGTGATTTAATGCAGCCACATGCTAGGAACTAAACAGGACGAAAAACAACATTCTTTTTGTCACTGATTTTTCAATATTAATTTATTAGCAATTTAATTCTAAATAGGTTGTCCCATAATTGCGAGATCAATTGATTTTTTTTTAGAATTCTTGACTGGGTAGAAAAATTACACACAGGTAGTATTGAAGTAACATTTTAAAAAAGAAAATTATTAAAGATTGACGCAATCTATTAATTACAGTAAATGTAGCATAAAAATATTTCAAGGCAATTCCTTTTTAACATATTTTAAAGGTGTTCGCTTTAGTTCCATACCATTTTTCACTTGAAATAATAAAATTGTATATTAATTATTTAATTCTGCTGTGATGAATCAGGATAATCTTTTATGAATCTCAATCATCTTCTCAAATATTTACCTTTTGACACAAATTTTAAAACTAACGAAGAGTGGTGTTTATGAAAAAAAAAATATTTTGAATGTTTCTAAAATATAGATAGAACAGCTGTGTTCATCAAGGCACTAACATTTCATAACAAATAAATCAGCTATGAAATAAAACTAAGGAAATTTAAATACACACTACCGTGCAATAATAAATAAGACACTATCAGTTTTTCACCTTTTTTTGTTGGAATTTCTCACAAAATACCTAGAAGATTATTTTATGAACTTCAAGAGTGTAATAAATTTTAAAAACTTCAGAGGTGGTCTAAGGGGCCGGCAATAAATTATGAGCGAAAACAAGTATTATAGCATCTTATTTCAGAAAATGTAACATTAAATTTATTAACTCAAAGGACACTTTGCTATTATTTGTAAGAAGTACATAAAATTTCGTAAGCTTATACTATGAAAATATGGACATTTTTATAGAATAAATAAATAAAAACTTTTATTTGCCATACGATTTTTTCCTAAAACAGGAAAAATACTCAATAAAATAAAAGTTTTAGGAGCAATTTTTCATTAACAAGCATGTTAAAATTAGACCAAGAAAAAAAAAACAAATCCTTTAAAATACGTTTTTAAAGTAGTTCTTTCCCACCTGCGCTGAAACAAATATTTTTTCCTAATTTTGCAGTATAATTTTTTGAAGATATTCAAATCTTTTTTTTCCCACGAGTTGCTAACTACAATTCCCGACAAAATTTTGAAAAAAATTCTTCATACGCTCATATCTTGCGCAATTTTAAACGATTTACTTTCTGTTCAATTTTAAAATTATCTTGTAATTAATTAAAAATTTCTTCAAAACTTTTATTCCATTTCATTCAATATTTTTAAGCTATAGCAAAAAACAGCTACAAAATAATCCTCAAATTAGGACAGTGTATGTTCTACATTTACATAGCTGTAAGAGGACCAATTGTACTCGATCTTGAAAGAGTGAAAAATTCTTTGGATTGGATTGAGGTATTACCTATGATATAAGAAAACTTAAGTTTATATTCAATTCAATGCTACTAACCTCGATTTCCGATAGACAATTCTTTGTGTAGGGGAATTTATTTATATTATGCGGGATATAACCTATATACTATTCAATAAATATATATTATATACACTAAACAGTCTAGAGGAGAGAAAAAAATCGTAAAATTCCATAAATTTTTATTTTTTGGCACTTTGAAAATTCGATATTCGATATAATATCCATAGCAATTTATAATAAAAGATGTTTACAAGAATGCAACGGTTATTTTAAAAAAAGTTATGATTCATTTAACAAAAGCAGGAATTAAAACTTTAGTTTTTCGAATGATACTGAATCTAATTTTATCGAAAAATCATTACTTTATTAACAAATTAGTTTATCTGAGACAACTCAATAAAATATTAGTACAGTAACATATTTGTAAGTTTCTCTAAAGTAGTATAGTATTAAGTTTTAATAAATTCTGCCGAATAGATTTTTCCTTATTATTTCAAGTCTTACTTTTTTATAAATTGATTACAAGAAATCAATTTCGATTTTAGAAGTAAGTGAAAATTCATCAATTTGTTCTAAAATGAATGCGTCAAACAGAACTATTTTATTTCGTCTCAACTCTGGACTGATTCTAGATCTTGGAGTTCTATAGTTATTAAAGTTTATGCCATTAAACTATTTTTAAAAGAAATTCAATAGAGACGTACGAAGAAAGAAATTGCCATACCATAAACCTTCGACACATATTAATCAGGCCTTACAATTTTTATTTAGTCGCACCTTCAGACTGATTCTAGATCTCGGAGTTCAACAGTTATAAAGGTTTATGCCATTAAACTATATTTAAAAGAAACTAAATTGAGACGCACAAAATTCTTACGCGGCTTTCACACTTTTGCACGAGCGTTAATTTATCAAGGGCTTAATACTGGTTGTTGTTGTTGTATTTAATTTACGTCGCACTAGAGCTGCACGATGGGCTATTGGCGACGGTCTGAGAGACACCCCTGAGGATGATCCAAAGACATGCCATCACAATTTTGATCCTCTGCAGAGGGGATGGCACCCCCGCTTCGGTAGCCCGACGACCGCTTAATACTGGATTTGAATATGTATTTTACCAGGTTAATGCACAAAACACATCAAGTGCATTACACCGCATATGCGCGCGTAACGTACCAGGTAAAATACAGGTCTAAGTATGATTATATCGGGTACAAAGAAAATTTAAATACTACAACTCTTAAGAACTCATCTCCCCTTAAACTCTGCTTTCTTTCTCTTATTTCCTTTGACATTCGTTCACGTGCAAAATTATTTTGTGATTTATAAGTTCTGATAGAAAAATGGCTGACCAAATTAATTTTATTAAATCTTCAAGGGGCAAAGAGATGCTCAACTATAGGGATAATCTTTTTTACTTTCATTAATCATATAAAGATGTCCAGTACTGGGTGTGTATGCGGAAAAAAACAACTGCGTGTAAAAGTTAAGTTTCTTTAAGAAACGGCATCATAGTGAAAGAAACTGGCTTTCATAATCACTCTGCAGATTCAAACAAAATTGCAAATTTGCAATTTGTACAGGAAGTGAAAACGAAATTATTGCAAAATCCAGAGGTGCCTGTTCCAAAGATGTACAAGTGAATAAATATATCCTATTTCATTTTGCTCTAAATGATATGTCATATTTGTAAATGAGATGTTAATATAATATCTAATGGGGTCTGTCTAGATTTTTTTGATAGGTACCTATTTTGTGAAAAATTAGACATAATTTGTAAAAATTAAAATTTATATTAAAACATCAACACAAAAATAAGGATATATCGTTTCTTGTGGTATACAAGAATAAAATTTTAAGAAACAGTATTTTGAAACCACCGTTTTTCCTTAAGTTGAATTTGTGAAGGTGCCTCTAAACGGTAGTAAATTTGGCCTGAACAAACCCCTGATTCTAGAAATGATAAATAAAATATAGTAACTGTTATGAGAAAGTGTGGTCAATGTTTATAAATTTGCATAACTTCACTATCATTTTTGAACATATTTGGTCATTCTTTTTTTATCATTATTGAAATTTGAATTGTAAATGGGAAAAGAATTATTAAATAGTTTACAAAATTAATTTAATTTAGCAATACATATAAATCCTAATAAATGATGTGTCAGCAAAAAATTTATGCTATCACACAAAAAGGTTAATACAGACATGTCCACATTAATACAACAGCTATATATCAACATTAGCTTATATTTAATTTTATGTAGATAATTATAATTTCTTTTTCTTTTCTTAGAAGTATATTAGCAGAAACAGCTACATCAGTAGCTGCTGCTGCAAATATTCCAGCATATGCATCGATCAAAACAGCATTGTACAAAACAAGAAATACACTGTGGCCAAATTTGCCAAAAACTGTTGACGACTTATTGCTGCAGGGCTCTTGGTGTAATACCAAAAATGGAGCACCATTTCTGCTAATTGATGATGGAGCTGGATCGCATAGAATTTTGGTAAGATAAAATAAATTCAAAATCAAAATAATAAAAAGCATAATATTAAAAATCAATTGAAAATACTATAGCTTTTTCTAGGTATAAAAGTATTTGAATTAACAGGTACAGGTTTTAAATTGAACTGGGAATCTTTAAATATTTTAAACGTTAAATTAGAAAGAAAAAATTCTTTAACAGAGCATTTCATAAACTTTAACTCTATAAAGTAACTAGAATAATGCTTATAATAAGCATTATCTGCATTATTTTGATCTAACCTACCCAATAATTCATGTTCTGGGTTTTACAAAAGATTATAATAATTTCCTCTCTTATCGATACAAATTTTTAAGAGAACATTACTAAAGTATACTTAGCAGAGCTAACATACAACTTGCTGGAAAAAAATGGCGTACTTTAACTGAGCAATATATTTTTTGGAAAATAGTCAAAAATATTTAATAGCATTAAAATAATTAAGTCTGATCCAATGTACCTCCATCTAAATATGCAATTCGAAGAGTTTTTTTCATTCAAATTTATTTGTTCATCTTTTATATATATATATATATATATTTTGTTCTTGCAAAAAAAAAAAAAAGATTTTGAGCCCACAAGCCTTATATCATGCGGTTAATCTAAGCATCTTAAAACTTATTATTTAATTATATACTAGATGGCTAAGCCCTTCTTTGCTACCGTACTCTAACCCGGATAAGTGATTCACAATATGTGTTGTCACTTGACATAAAAGAGTTTTTTCTGTGAAAGTTGAAACTATTAACTTTATATGTAGGAAAACTACTATAAGAAGTTAATAACTATATCTTAAAATGTAGAGCAGAATTGCATTACAATAATAATAAAAATGTTATACATGTTAACTATGCTATGTTAACATGCTATGCTAAACTATTATGTTTTTGTGTTACATAGAGATATAATTAATCTTTTACTTGTAGGTATTTTGCACTGCAGAAAACTTAAGAAACCTTTGTGCCAGCCCAAAATTATTTTTAGATGGCACCTTTAAGGTAACACCTAAAATTTTTAAACAGTTATATACTTTGCATGGGGATTACATGGGCCAGATATTTCCTATGGCTTTTTGTCTGCTAGGAGGCAAAACTTTTGCTCTGTACAAGAGGCTGTTTGAACTAGTAAAATCTGCAGCATGGAGTCACAACTACTTATTAGCACCGAATTTTGCCATGGTAGATTTTGAGTTGGCAAGCATCAAGGCTCTGAAGGAAGTCTTTCCAAGTATTGAAGTGAAAGGTTGTTACTTTCACTTTGTTCAAAGTTTGGTGTAAAAGGTATGTATAGCATTTTTAAGCTACAGTTTGAATTTCAGTAATAGTGGATGAGTTCAAGGTGAAAAACTATAAACTTAATTTGAAACATTTGCTTATTTCATTTTTTTTTATTTTAAAGGCAAGTAAGCTGGGTCTCTTACGTCTCAGCAAGAGGAACCCCAGCATTAAGTTATGGCTTAGAAGAGCAGCAGCTCTACCATTGGTTCCTGAGGAATCGCCATATAGAGATATGGCCAATATGCTCATAGAACAAACAATTCCTCAATTTGCAGAAGCTCATCGCTTTTTTAAGTATTTTGAAGAAACTTGGATGAACCAATGTATGACACCAAAGTATCCAATGTAAGTATCACTGAATGGTTTCTCAACATTTTCTAGCTCCTTCTACATAAAAAAAAAGCTTTAAAAATTTGGATTTCATTATTGACCATCAAATGTACACAACACTTATAGTTCTTATTTTGAGACAATCGTAATTTAGACTTGTGATAATTTACTTTTCACTTTCACATAGTAATTTACCATCTACCCTCACATCATGGGGCTTTTAAAATTCAAAAATTGTATGTATATATAAAACAAAATTACCTAGCATTAATCAGCAGTGCAGAAATTTTCAGAATTTAATATTTCCTTTTTTTTCAAAATTAACCCCAAAATATAGCGCTCTTGTTTTAATAATTTTTGCAAAATGTGTTTCGAAAGTAAGTTTAAACTGTAAGTTATTAATTGATCAATGCATGTTTGTTGAATTCAAAACAAAAAAAAATTGTGAAAATATCTTATTTGCAAGATGATTATCATAAAAATACACTTTGGTATATAGTATTGAAGCTAAGGAATGAAATCACCATTTGATGATTAAAAGAAGCACTTGATATAAATAGTTAACTGTTTTTTTTTCCTCTTATTTTCAGCGAGTTGTGGAATCATTTCCACAACACTTTAGATAGAACAAATAACTATTCTGAAGCATTTCATGCCAAGATTAACAGAAGAGCAACAACCCGTCACCCTAATATATTTGCTCTTGTGCACTTACTACAAGCTATTGATAGTGAGGATACTGCAATGAGGAGGATGCTGGAGGCTGGGCGTAGGCCAATTCAACAAAAAAAAGAAAAAAATTTGTACCAAGTTAGAGAAGAAAGAGTTGAAATTTTGAAACTTGAATTAATTTTGGATAACATAACGTTAACTGATTATGTCGATAAAATTGGCCGGATAATTAAATTAAAGTAAAATTAAAATTCTATACTGGTTAAACATATATTTTTTCCAAATTTAGACCTTTTTTATCTTAACGATTATTAAAATATTTACTTAAACCTTTCTCTTTTTCTCAATAAATAATTAATTTAAACTGTTCATATTTATTCCAAAACTTTTTTTTTTAAAAAAAAAAACATTAAAATTAAATAATTATCCCCCTCAAATCCTGCAGATCGCCTCAGCGTGGCGAGGGGGTGACCCTGGGACGTCGGGGGATTATTCTCCTGGCAGGGCCACCCAAGACGTGAAGGCCATTCCACTATGACCAGCTAAGGTCTGCAGGTAAAGTAACAAATCATACTTTACTTTGAATTCAGCTTTTAATGACATTTAGCAAGTGATTCCTTTTGCGAATTTGTTTATATTACTAATAACCTCTTAATTTGACCAAATAACCTCTTTTGCCAATTTGTCTAATGCTATAACCTCTTAACTTGTGTGTTCAAATTAATTCGAGCTTGCCAAACGGGCCAAACTGTTGACACTCGACAATTCGAGCGTCATTGTATTTTATGCTGCTATAATTTTTCACATTCGTTTTTTTCAAAAAATTTGTGCATTAAGGGTTAATAATTATAATTTTACAGTTCAAAATCTTCTTGTTTTTTAAACAGATTTGTGCAATACCAACCCACAGTAATAATTTAATTTTCATTCCACGTGTTAATGAAAATTACTATAAATGTCTATTCTTCATATGAGTATCCATCAAGGAGAATTATTCTAATTTTGCAAAAATATCTTTTTTTAAAATAAGTACAATAGCAATAAAAATTTTTACAAAACATTTTTGCTTGTTTTATTTATTTACTTATTTAAACACTTCTCTTTTATTCATATTCCATTTTCAAATAAAATTTTATTGACTGTCTATGTAATAATTAAACACACTGATAAAATTATCTATGTATATTTCTTATAATATTAGTTTAACAAATATTAATTTTGTTAGGATTATCTTCATCTGGTTAAAATTTTATAAACATTTTTTTAGAGGAAGGAATTATTACTAAACTTTGAAATAAGCTATTTATTAAAAAAATTAAATATTTGCTACTCATCTTTATCTAAAGAAAGCCTTGTAACCTAAATATCTAGCAAAATGAAAATCGTAAAAATCTTAAAAGAAATATCGTAAATTATAGAAAACCTTGTGAATGCGCATTAGAATTACTATACAATATACATTTTATTTTTCAAGCTCTTTTTTTTCCTTCAAACTTTCTTGCCTAGAACACTCGATTAAAGCTGTAAAAATGATTATCCCTAAAATTTTGTATATAGCCATAATAAGATATGTTAATTTGATTTTAGTATGAAATCCTCGAATTTTTATAACAAAAACAACATAATCTAAATAATATCAGATAAAAAGTTCATGTATTTAATTTCTAAAAACTTAGAAAATCATAAATAATTTATAAATCGATTCAAATTTTCTTTTCAAAGGAGATTCAAATAAAAAAAAATTGCTTTTTGGACAGAAATTAGCTTAAAAATTGTCTATATCATAGAAACTTTAAGATATTTTCTATTAACTTTGAGATATTTCTATTAAACCTCTCCGAGCAATCACAGAGCATTATTTAAATTTTTTTTTACAGTCAGAAATTGGTTGCTTAGCAACCTAGTGAAATTAAGTCTTCTTCTTTTGAATTAGTCAATGGGTTACCTTAAAATATTAATTTGCGTTGGCGACTTTTTCTGTCGGTTTTCTGAACTATCGCCAAATATATAAACCTTTCTTGTGACCCAATTTAAGACCCAATTTTTTCAAAATTTTGTATACCCCCCTAATTCAAGTGTCTGGATTCCAAATTTGAAAAAAAAAATACATGTTTATTCAGAGAAAGTACGTTTTTGTGTCTGATTTCGTAACTTAATTAATAATTAGCACTAATTAATTAGCATATTTGAGGTCGCCCCCGGAACCATTAATATTGACACTTAGTTCATGAAAATCCGATCAAATATGCTAATTAATTTGTGGTAAATATTAATTAAGTTGCGAAATCAGACACAAAAACGTACTTTTTCTGAATAAACATGTAATTTTTTTTTTTTACAAATTTGGAGTCCAGACACTTGAATTAGGGGGGGTAGACAAAATTTTGAAAAAATTGGGTCTTAAATTGGGTCACAATGAAGGTTTATATATTTGATGATAGTCCAGAAAGCCGCCAAAAAAAGTCGCTAGCGCTAATTAATATTTTAAGGTGACCCATTGACTAATTCAAAAGAAGAAGACTTAATTTCATTAGGTTGCTAAGCAACCAATTTCTGACTGCAAAAAAAAATAATTTAAATAATGCTCTGTGATTGCTCGGAGAGGATTAATACTTGTAGAAATATCTCAAAGTTAATAGAAAGTTAATAGAAAATATCTAAAAGTTTCTAGGATATAGACAATTTTTAAGCTAATTTCTGTCCAAAAAGCAAATTTTTTTATATTTCAATATCCTTTGAAAGGAAAATTTGAATCGATTTATAAATTGTTTATGATTTTCTAAGTATTTAGAATTTAAATACATAAACTTTTTATCTGATATTATTTTGATCATGTTGTTTTTGTTCTATTTATTCGAGGATTTCATACAAAAATCAAATTAACATAACTTATTATGGCTATATACAAAATTTTAGGGATAATCTTTTTTACAGCTTTGATCGAGTCTTCTAGGCAAGAAAGTTTGAAGAAAAAAAGTGCTTTAAAAATAAAATGTATACTGTATAGTAATTCTAATGCGCATTCACAAGGTTTTCTATAATTTACGATATTTCTTTTTTCTTTAACTCAAGGAATTGCTGAATGTTTAGTGGTATTTTGAAAACATTGAAATATGTTATGATTAAGAATAAGATATTGAAATAATATGTTGCATATTGTAAGATTCATTGTTTAAAAAATCGATTCATTCTGCTAGATATTTAGGTTACAAGGCTTTCTTTGGATAAAGTTGATTAACAAATACCATCCTCATCTTTCGATACATTCTGAAACTTACATTCATAAATTCACCCTAAAATGTCGCAAAGCATATTCTTCAAATACGATTACGGCTACATTTACCACCAAATACTGCTACTATGATTATTTTTGTTTTCTTATATATGTTACCGGCAAAGTATGAAATGCCGGTATAGAATAGAATGCCTAGGCATTCTATACAGTGCCGTATGTTTTTAGGTAAAGTATGAAATATGAGAGGTATTACATACTTTCCCTAGGGATTCTATAGAATGGAAAAATATGAAAAAAATATACTGATGAGGTCATTATATTATATTAAAGATGTGCATGTTAATGTGAATGTCCGAAATCGGTGGTTGTTGACATTCACCGGTGAATGTTGACAATCACATAGTCGCTTTGGTGAATGTCCGAAATATTTATTAAATCCGATTTGATATTAATTTATTCGAGGATATAATTGCATTTATTCGATATTTTAATACTTACTGACGATAGATTAGAAGAAACATCAGTGTTTGGAGTATCAGGCTAATATATATCGGGCAATGGCACTGAACCTTAAAAAAGCATCGGTGTGTACCGGGCAAATGTATACCGGGCAGTGGCACTTGACCTTAAAAAAAACATCAGTGTCTGGTATACCAGGCAAATGTATACCGGGCAAATCTGTACCGACCAGTGGCAATTAACTAGAACTAGTATGATTAGACCTTTGGTAAATGTCCGAAATATATACTAGGTCTAGTTTAGTGCCACAGCCCGGTATATCCTACACTGATGTTTTTTTAAGTTCAAGTGCCACTGC